TACAAAATATAAACTTGTAGGTCAATTTTTGTATTTGAAAAATCCCAAATCATAATTTAAAATTTCACATCATGATTTTTTTCTTTGAAGAAGTTAAAATTTCATTCCATGATATGAAATCAGCTTGAAGTCGCATTGTCCTAACAGGGCCGTAATGTCCAAACTGACCCTCCTCAATAGTTTTGGACCGTTATTGAATTAGCTTTGTTTGCCCCGGATCCGATAACCCATGGGGCTTTGGGCGGTCCGAAATCGAGCCGTAATGTCGAATTTGTGTATCCAAAACCTCACAAAACCCTCGTCTTCAACCAGCAGCCATACCTAAAAGCTTTCTCATTCACAGTGTTCATTCAACCTTGGAGCTGCTGTTATTTACTTCCTTTAATTCACAAAGCAGAAGCAGAGGAATCATACTCTGTAAGAAAAATGGTGAGCAAAAGGCAGAAATTAGCTCGAAAACGATACAAGGATGCTAATCCTGAACTATTCCCCAAGCCAGAACCAACTCCGCCTAAAGACCCCAACAAGAAAAAGAAGAAGAAGAGCACTTTCAAGAAGAAAAAAGGAGAATCCAAAGATCCTAATAACAAACGTTCATTTACTAAGCACCCTTTTAGAGTCGCTGGAATGAAGCCTGGTGAAAGCTGTTTTATTTGTAAAGAACATGACCATATTGCCAGAGATTGCCCTAGAAAAGCCGAATGGGAAAAGAATAAGGTACAATTTTTGGTTTTTTTCATTATTGTGTATATTTTGTATTGCGATGTTTATGCTACTCTGCTGGAGTTCATGATAGGGCTGGTAATGCTATCAACAACTTCATATAAGTAACGGAAGTACTAGAAACAAGAGATAGTTACAGAACATAAACTACAACAAACAATACGATAGGGAATGTTCTTCCATTAATAAACGAAAAATGAAAATTGAATTGAATCTTTTGTTTTCATTTCATCTTCTTATTTTGACATTTCATTTGAAAGAATAATAATGCTTTGATAATTTGGTTCGGTTCTCCATGGTGTAGTCATTCCAGAGTTTGGCTGCTAAAACTGTCGATTTACAACGAATAGATGAAATCTATTATGAACTTAATACTCCATAACTAGATTCAAAGTGTATTGTACTTACTTTACTTAGAAAGAAAATATGTATATTCCATATCATTAATCCCAATTAACTTCTAAAGAACCCTTTCCAACTTATAATTGTTACCAAACACTACCGTTGGTGGTCAGTCCAGCCTCCACCACTCTTAATTCCACCAACTTTTATTCTCAATGGAACATTGGAAAATGACTTAGCAGATGATTTTCTCAGGTAAAATGTTTCCTTTTCTGGTAAAAACAATTGAAGTCATACCAAACATGGCCTTTGGACAGAATCTATTTAGTATTGACTTGTAGTTTCACTGCCCAATGATATCAAAGATGATATTTTACTACACTAGAAGAATATTATTGCCTCATGCTGATTTTTGCTGCTTTGGTTGATATGTGTCTATGAAGATATGTTTGCTTTGTCGTCGACGCGGTCATAGCCTGAAGAATTGCCCCAACAAGAATGATGAAGTGGTGGATAAGAAGTTGTGTTACAATTGTGGTAATACAAGTCATTCTTTGGCTAACTGCCCCTATCCTCTTCAAGATGGTATTTTTCCTTTGACCTTATCTAGTAGTATCTCTTTTCTTCATTCCGTGTACAATGTATTTTCTTTTACTTCTTTTATTTTTTTTGTGTGCATACATTTCTTCAGGTTACGAACTTTTTCCTTGTCCTTCTCATTGTAATTTCAATACTGATCCACTAATTTTCATGTACTCTGTGTATCAACTTCGTAATATGCAGTATGGAAGTGTTAAACATTGAATAATTAAGGCTAAACTACTAAATAAGTTCCTGAACCAACTGACAGGGTCACGGTATTGGTTAATTGTTATAGTGTTGCCTTGACCAATCAAACTCCATTAATCCATACTTACAAAATAGGAGTTGACCTAAATTGCGTTAATGCCGAGTTAAGAAATTAGTTTCAGAATTTCTTTGGTGGAACAAAAAGAGTATATGCAACCGACAAAACTGAAGTGCTTCAAGAATTAGCATATGCTAAATTGTTGCTATATATGTGCTATTCAGATTGAGTTGCCCTTGTCTTCCAAGGGTCTATTGAAGTTGATCTAACAATAATATCTCTTCTATTAGAAAGATTTTTCTTGTTTCTTTTCTTTAATTCTAGTAAAATCATGTTGTTTTCTCAATTATGCAGGTGGAACAAAGTTTGCCAGTTGCTTTATTTGTAAAGAACAAGGTCACTTGAGTAAGGACTGCCCTAAAAATACACATGGCATATACCCAAAGGTACATATATTCGATTGGCTTCAAACTTCATTTTCAATCACTTCACAGCTACCTTCTGATGCTGGTTCGATATGTCCATGTTTACTCAATCAAAATGAGCTCTTTTCTAGGGAAACTTTAAAACATAAATTTCACCGGAGGTTAGAAGTTCAAGTTCTTGATGACTTTTGTTTGCAGGGTGGTTGTTGCAAAATTTGTGGTGGCGTTACACATTTGGCAAGAGACTGTCCTAATAAATCTGGCAAAGCTTCTGATGCGGCCATTGGTAGATTTAAAATTTGTACGTACTTTAATATATTATTCCATTAATTTGCTCTTCGACACTTCTAGTTTTGCCTTCACTTTTAGGAAAAAGATATATCAAGGATTTCTACTGCTTGCAACCTTTTGTATGCTATCATTTTTTCATGTCATACTATCATTATACATGTTTAAGGAACTCTTTAAGGGGTTATTTGGTAGGGTGTATAAAAATAATGCTAAATAGAGTATTAATAATGCTTGCATTAGTTATACATAGATTATTTCTTAAGCATTGTTTGGTTTGGTGTATTAAAAATAACATGCGTTGTATAAAAACATTTATTTACAAAAATATCCTCCATAATTATGGTGAAAAAGATGTAAAAAGGGTTTTGAGGGGTAATTGGGTCTTTAACCATGCTAATACATGCATGAAATCTCTTTGTCTTACTAATACGTAGAAATCCATGGTATTAGTAATACACAATAGAGTGTATAACTAGTGCTTGCATTAGTTATACATAGCATAAAAAAGTGCACCAAACAAGGTACCACTAATACATAGAGCTAATGCATGCATTATTTTGCCTAATACACTCTACCAAACGACCCGCAACATATTAACTTATATGCTATCATTATAATGTTCACACTCTGTAACTTCTTTGTCATTCAGTTTGTCTCATGTCCTACATACCTAATCAGTTGTCCCTCAATAGTTGCAGATTTAGCAAGGCTGCATATAACTTGACAAACTGAGCACTTGCTCTCTTCTACTTTTCTTGTGCATGACCTAGTCTTGTTTTCTCTCGACAGTCCAACAACTTTGTCAACTTTTTTTTTTTTCTTTATCTGCTCAGTTGAACAGGTTTTGACCATGGCAAAGCCAAGCCAATTTCTTTTGGTGCAGAAGAGAATTAATCGAGCTACAGTTGTCTGTTTATCATATTTTTTTAATATAATTAAAGGCCTCATAAGTCATATCACAGTCACTCTTGTTCCTTTTCAATATAAAGTCTGTACCTTCTCATGCCGTCTTTCATACACTCCTTCAGTTCCATGTTCATGAATTTTGTGCTAAATGTAGCAAGGGAACAGTCCATTTTGTTGGCATGGGGGGGATTTATGTCGTAAGTGGCTGCCTTGTGAATAACTTTTGGTGGACGTTGGTGTGCTCCTTTATTGATTACAAACACACCCTGATAGATTTTTTTTTTACTATATGCTTGTGGCTTGTTAGTAACAGATGCTGCTTGCTAGTGTTAGTTTGGTTTCAACTGTTCCACCTTTTTTGTGACCTTTCCCTTGTTTCTGACAGCTCAATTTGAAGACCGGCCAAGGGGACAAGTTACCAAACTCAGCGGTGGGGATGATCTCGAGGATGACTTCAACTTCATGGCAGAGGATGTTAATGAAGACGATGATGCTAAATTAAAGAAGAAAAAAGAACCTAAAGTTGTTAATTTTGAAGGATGAGTGAATCTCCAGAAGAACCGGTGATCCTGGAAAGTGCAATCTATTGAATAGATATTGATTTTCTTGAAACTGCTCCATATATCTTGTCCAACAACTGCAATTCACTTTCAAATTTTGATTTGCAATATTCTTTTCTCCTCTAGTTAGTGAGGATCTTGGACAGAAAATTAAAATACTTGTGACAAATTGTTCGAGAGTGCTAATGCTAAATGGTGTCTTTTGAGTATGACCAAAAAAAGATTAGGACTATTTTCTAGTCTTCGTTTTTCATTAGTAAACTGTGTATCCACCTTTTTTTTTTGGCTTTGGGTTAATTGCATGTTTCCCAGTTCTACTTCTGCTGACCTGGTCCTTGTTCACAAATAGATGTTGTACTTTGCTGTAAAAGCTTTCTAGTTTAGTAGGATGATCAAATTAGAGTATTGCATTTCAAATTAATATTGTGCCAACAATATAAAATAGAGAAATTATATAGCGGTTTTTTGTTTAAGTGTAAATTAACATTTGTATATTTAGGGGGTAACTGAATAAAATTTGGGATTAATTTTAATCTTATATTTGGTTTGAGATACAAATGATGGATTACTACCAAATATTGATAATGAGATAAAATAATGTCATAACATATTCTTATTTATCTCATCACGCCTGCAAACGACCGTAGTGGGAAGTTCAACAGGGAATTATATTACCGTTGACAAAGAATGGTCGTGGTCGCAGTCGTGACTAAAATGATTAATGAGCCTCAAAATAGCTCAGAATACTCACAACCCCTTATCTAACATTTCCTCTTTAAACTCCGAATCTGTCTCTTGTATTATTTAATTATAAATAATAAACCAGCTAGACTGTGTTTTTTCTCTTGTAGATTGAAGGATCTCTACCATTTTCTCCTCTATCCCCCCCACCCCTTTATCCCTTTTTTTTTTCTATCCATTTTGCAGGCAGAGATCCTTATCTATTTCATAATTTCATTATACGATACCATGGTATATATATATATACTCTCTTTCTGTTTCATTTTTTCTTTTCAATCACCATTTTGTCATGTTATACATCTTTAACTTAATTGTCATTCAACGGCAAATCAATCGGCCGAAGTTGACACCAGCTTTTAGTTAGACACCTCATCTTAAGTAGGATTTGTTCATTTTGAACATCTGTAGTAGGCATATATTGAGTCATTTTGACACCTTTTTTATATTCTCAGATCCAACTTAAGAGTGTATAGGTGGAAAAATTGACCAATTTGTATGTGACACGTAGATTTTTATTTTATTTTTTAACAAAAATGATTCACTTTTACGATGAATCATGGTGCACTCACTAAGCATATAATTTTCGAAAAAAAAATTAATTATATATATAAATATTTCCACGGGAAAAAAATGGATCTATTCATGTTTTCTTGGTTGAATATATCCACTGGCATACGCAAGAGTTTTTGTAAGAAGTATCGGTATTTTTAAAATTATGAATATATCATTATAGCAATAAGGGGTGCCATTTTTAATATTTATAACCCATATTATCATTTTGGTTATTATCTATAGTTTGCATATTTAGAAAAAAATAAAATTGACGAAGCAGTGTCATGTGACACATCTCTGTACAAGGTGCGTAAGCACCTGCATGCATTAGTTTGGCCTCAATCACTCAATGAATGGTTGAATATAATGGCATTCATAATATATACTTGTTACTGTTGATCTTATCTTAGGATTTATCAATTGTTCTTATTGTTGTTTCATTTGAATTCTCTGTCTTATTCATGACATTTGACAAATATATAAATGGGCAGGCAAATGCTGTGTCTGGAACGGCAGTACAAGATGAATGTAAGCTGAAATTCTTAGAATTAAAAGCAAAGAGAAACTACAGGTTCATTATCTTCAAGATTGATGGTCAGGAAGTGGTGGTAGAGAAACTTGGCAGCCCTGAAGAAAACTACGATGATTTCGCTAACTCTCTCCCTCCTGATGAATGTCGTTATGCTGTCTTTGATTTCGACTTCATAACTAACGAAAATATCCAGAAAAGCAAGATTTTCTTTATTGCCTGGTATACATATATAACTTTCCTTACATATATATATCCATTTGAGAAAAAAAGATACTCAGTGAAAGAAGATTTGGCCTGATTCTAACTAATAATACTATGTGATGATATCTTTTAGGTCACCTGAATCATCAAGGGTGAGGATGAAGATGGTATACGCGAGCTCAAAGGACAGATTCAAGAGAGAACTGGATGGAATTCAAGTTGAATTGCAAGCAACTGAACCTAGTGAAATGAGCTTTGATCTTATAAAATCGCGAGCCTACTGAGTCCTCTCATGCAGTTGCATTTCCAGTTTCTTTGTTGTGGTTCATATTATCACCTGATCTTTGTATTTCTCATGTAATGCCTTAACTTGTGGTAACAGCATTCTGTATCAAATGGTTGTTTTTTCTCCTAAATAAAACATCTGATTGTGCTCTTGTTGCATTTTAGACTGACTAATTCCATTATATTTTCATCCATTGAACTTCAAATGAATATATTATTACAAATACCTATATAAAGGAAAAAACTTCCTTCCTGAATTGTTTTCCTCCTAAACATATGTTATCCCAACACCAAGGTTTATCGTTCGTGTGCTCCATTATAAAGTTAGATGATTATACAACAAACTCTTAACGAAAAAATATACCTTACTACATGTAAAAAAAAAAACTAAAATCTTCGTTGTTGTTTGCTTTTGTTCTTCCAATATTGTTGTTCCCATGAGTCAACTTGTTTTATTGAATTTTCTTTTCTATCAAGAATAGAGTGAAGACCTGCAGGGGCAAATGGAGGTGGCATGTTGCAAGGTATCGCGTCTGAGGGGCCTTCAACCATAGATTCTAACATGAACTTCTTTGTCAATCCTTCAGCTGGGCATGCCATTGCCTCTGAACAAAGCTCAACTGCTTTTCGAGGTACAGTGGGCTTGTATTTCAACAGCTTAGCATACTCACTCAAGAGATGGAACATGTAGTCGTACACATAATCCATTTTGAGTTGTTCTTGAATGAAATCGCTTGCTGCCTTACCAATCGCCTGTGCCTATGTTATTCACCAAAGAAGTAAATTATCGGACAATGCCAATAAGATGGTGAAGACCGTGATGAGTTGGGGTCGGATTATAGATTACCTCTTGTTCATGAGTATTCCCCCAGTCAACAGCGTGCTTGATTGATCGGCATTTGTCTTTATCTTTTACGGGCCAGTAATGTTGCAGAGGCATCAAACCTCTGGTGTAGAAATCGTAGTACTGGGGTTTTATAAGTAACGTAACAGAATCACAGGCCAGAATATATTTTTCACTCACGGACCATGCAGATCCTTCTACATAAATCTTGTACCTGACATAATAGCATAAGGAAGAAAAGAGAAAAATCGGACAATGTTTAGGAAGATATAGTTAACAAACACGGACATGTTAACGAAAAATAAAGATAAACCAGTAAGAGAAACAACTCTATTTTTCGTACCTGTGGATGCACTGACTAGCTAAGTCTGATTTCTTGTACCCTTGCTTCTCTTCTTGACCCCAGTCCTACATATATTTATAGATTCATCACCTAAATTTCTTTACATTCTACATTTCCTACTTATCCCTAATCATATCATTAGCCTCATGACTAGAGCAGGGAATCTGCGGTAAACATGACGGACATGTTCCACATACATTCACTGGACTTGGAAATTTCAGGACAATAAGTTAGTATGAAATTCCTCACAAAGGCACAACCTCCAAATATGACGGAAGTAGTTGACTGAAGTCAAGACTAGCTCACCTCTCACCTTTTTCATATTTGACATCATAGTAGAAGCTATTATGAGCTTTCATGTGTAATATTCCTACTCCTAACCTCATGAAGGATTTGTATTTTCTGACAAGGAACATGATTACATATGTCGTAGAACAAGATACCTGAGCATAAACGCGTGCATTCCAGTCCTGCTTTTCTGAAACATTGCACTTGAGCAGATCCCTCCTGGTTTCAGCAACAACAGGATTGCCTTTCCAGTATGCATATGGTTCCCTGTCAGTCCATTTCATCTTCTCATTCCCTTTCTTTAAGTCCTTCGACAAAGTCTCCCACGGCTTTATATTAATCTCTGGCCTAAACAATGTTTTCGGAACAAAAAGATAAGGTTCAATAAAACTTATAAGATTATCAAATCAATATGCATGCGAGAAAATTAAGGTTCATACCACCCCCAGAATGACCAGTCTGGAAAAACAATATCCAAACTACTATCATTCCCACAGTATCGGAACAGAGGTGGAGGAGCAGGGGCCTTAGGGTGTCGATAGAATTCAGTCTTAAGAACTGGCCAGTCAACGCAGTCGAACATCAGGTCCAAATCAGGCAGTTTACCAGGGTACCTACGTAACATTTGTAAAATGCCCCATAATGTAAATGTGTCTCTACTTTGAAATGCCTTATGATAGGTTTCAACATATGCTCTTCCATTCACTATCACCAACCGAAAATCTGCCGTCCTTTTGGCTCTCATCACCATTTCTTTGGTGATTCCTGTTTCTCTCCAATGCCATAGGTCATCGTAGATCCAACGGAAGTAATCTGGACATGTAGGCGGCGGAGGAGATGATGTAGAGGCTTCATTTTGTTCGGTGAACTTTAACGGGTAGTAAGATGCAGGGCAAGTTCTTGTAAGATTCCCAAGTGTACAATTTAGTTGGATTTCCAGTTTCTTCAGGGGCACTGCTGGGGTTGCATCAGTGTGATTGTGGCGTGTTACGGGGGTTAATATTGTCTTTCGTGGAGAATATCCTGTGGTGGACTGTCAATGCGGAAGAATAAACCATTAGTGTAGATTCAACAAGATGATGAGTTAGTTCGCAATGTAGACAAGAACAAGATATATATGAATACTGAATAATATTGATATATGGTGTCCTGGACGCAACATCATGCACATAGGCAAACCCAGGATTTGAAGACTTTGGGTGCACCAATAAACTTAAAATAAAAACAACCGAGACATAGGTTCCTAGGGTGGTTCCTCTGTGGCTTGTACAAGTGATACAAGGGCACTCCTATACTCCTCATGGGTGCACATTTAGTTATATTCTAGTTTTTGTCAATTTCTCAAGATAGATATACATATAATTTTTTCCCGAAGTTGAATATAGGTGCACGTGCACCCCAAATATGAATGTGGGTCCGCCTCCGATCATGGATGGCTTACATAGCGAATAATGTCCTATAATCACAAGGGTGAAGGAACGAGATGATCAAAAAGTAGTTGAAGTTGTTTCACATTGGCACATAAATCTTCAGTTTTTTTGTTACTATAGTAGTTTCAAAATGTAACATATTAAGTAACTAGTCCAACTTTGTTCTTTTTTTTTTTTATCAAAAGGATAGATATATTATAAATTACGTAATGTCAAGCATATTGTTTGATGCTGCAAAAACAGAAGTTTGGGCCATGGTATGGCCAATTACATAGTTGCTACTAGGATTGAGTTTCCTTAAGTCCAACTTTGTTCTTGTTTTGCTTTATCATGCATGATTACAAAAATACAATGACTCGAGACCTTACTTGCTCTGTGAAGGCAAATAGATTGTTTTCGATAGATACTCGGCTTAAGTAGAGATAATAAAATTAGATATAAAAAGGAAAATATAGTAGTCAAACAGCCATATTGAGAAGAGAACGGATAAGAGAACAATAACAACAACACATAATACAATAGTCGAACCAAAGAACAAAATAATACGTATTCCCTCCGTGTCAATTTGTTTTTCCTATTTCTTTCTTAGTTTGTCCTAAAAAAGAATGTCTATTTTCCATATTTAGCAACTCTTTTGTTCCAACATTCTATATGACATATTTAAGACCTAAAAATTAAAGACATTTTGATCTATTTTTAATTTGAAACCCCAAAATTTAAATATCTTTTTTATTTTCTTAAATTTTATATCATGTCAAAATAAGACAAATAAATTAAAATAGAAAGATGAAGTTATAACAATGACAATATACGTAAGAAAAACTTAACTCGACTACCTATAAACTTTCTATGTAAATAAAATTATCGTTGAAGAAAAAATTGAAGTAGAACACGTGCATTTGTATAACATGGGTAACAGAAACGAGAAATCTTAATGCTATCACAAAATAATGCCACGTAAACTTACACAACAGACACTTGGCGTAACTTTCACAGCAAAATTGTTTCATTGTCCCTCTCTCATATAATAATGTTTTAATAATAATTTAAAATAAAAAGCTAGAGGACAGCGTAAAAGATGGGTAAAATTACAAATCTGCCGCATATTCGCCCAACAATTTTTATTGCACCTTCAATAATGTACCGCTATTGTGCTTAGAGCACAAAATTTAGAAATCTTTTTTTTTTATAATTTATAATTTTTAAAATATTCATATAAATATCTCATGATAAAATAAATAAATAAAAAATTAAAATTTATTTATTAAGACAAAGAGGAAATATTATTCAGACACTTTTTAAAAAAAAAATTATGCCACGTCTCGTGATGGAATCAGAATTTTATCTAAGAAATTTCAAAATCTAAAAAAAGTAAATTCATAAACTAGCTGAATCAAGGTTCAATATTTATTCTATATTATTGCAATTATATATAAATAACATAAAAAAAAATTCAATTTTTTTTCGATTGAATCGTTGACCACAAGCTAGCTCTGCCCCTTCTCACACCAAATGAGAAACCGAAGGGAGTATTTGATTACAGTTAAAATATGCTCAAAAACACTTAAAATCACAATTAAGAAAAACTGCAAATCCCTCCTAATAGTAATGTGATTGTACTTTTAGATAATAATATGAATAAGTGACTTACTTTCTTGACGAATTAAATATTATTTGGCATGCAGTATCAAGCTAATAATAATACAGTGAAAAAAAACAAACAAACAAAGAAGTAATTAAGAACATCATTCTTTTTTGTTTCTCCTGGTGTTTGTTAAAGTCGGTGAAAAAAAAACACACATTTAACTTAATTAATTGAGAGAAGTATCGATAACATCCTAAATTTAGCTCAAATTATTAACAATTTTGAAAATACTTTTTTACTTGACTAACTAAATTTAGATACATTCCTGATCGATTACATTACATAACAATACAGTAATCTCAAACTCTTGTAGGAGCATGAAATTTTAATAAAAAACCGAGAAAAATATTGAAAACACATCAAAATTTAAGATGTATTTCACTCATGTTGTAAAATTGAGAATGTATCTTAGTTCAATTCTATAAGTAAATGGATATTTTTAAGATTGTCAATAATTTAGAAATGAAATTAATAATTTGAAGTGTATC